TGAGTTCTATGCTAACTGTTTCTTTTTTTGCAGTTCTCACTTGTAGAACTCTCTTCTGGATTCTTGCTTTCCAGTCAAGTTTGATTTTCAAAAATTTAAATACAATGTCAATCATTATCTTCTGTCTTCTTAATTTCTGTTCTTTTAGTGTACTTGCTTTTTACTAATGTTTTTCTTATATTCTTTCACGCTCAGTAACCTCTTGTGTCTTAGTGATTTTATTGTTTTGCTTCGAGTGAAATGTTTTTAAAAAAATAGTCAAAGGAGATGTAAGTCATCAGATCAAGTTATTTTCAGCAATGCATTGAGAATACAATATTGGGCTTTGAGATATCGTGACTAACCAAAAATTTCAAGTATCATGCAAAACAGTAAAACAGATACTTTTGATCTTGTTCATCTGATACTATACCCAAGCAGATGATATCTTTCTTGATACAAGACAACTCACTCACTGTGAATATAACTCTACAAGGCAGCACCACCTTCAATAGGTTTATCACAAAAGACATTCCATTTGCTACTTCTTCCATTCACCTATGGATGCTTCCACTACCTGTTAACCCCAAACAGATTAGAACATTAACAACACCTTGTGAACTTCCATGACTCTCTCTACCAAGGACATTTTAACTTTAACAAATAATGTATGTCCCCCATTGTGAATATATTTTCTAACTTGCTTAATTTTATTAGGCACTCAAAAGAAGATTTTCAGCAAGAGTCTACACACAAAAGGAAGAAAGGTTGATTGTAGCCCAGTAAATATTCATAAGTAAAAGAAAGAAGAAATGAAAAGTTTCATGAGTACACGCTCATTAAAAAGATGAAGTAAAAGAAGGTGGCCAAGTAAACACTACTAAGTAAAGCCCAGATAGAAATACTGATGGTAAACCAGTAAACACTAATAACTAAAGAGAAAAGAAAAGAAGGTGGCCCAGTAAACAGTAATTAACAAAGAGAAAGAAAGAGAAGTTGGCCTATTAAACACTAATAAACAAAGAGAAAGAAGAATCACTGGTAGTAGAACAGTAAACACTAATAGGTAAAGAGAATATCCCAGTAAGCACTAATTAACACAGAGAAAGAAATAGAAGGTGGTCTATTAAACACTAATAAAGAAAGAGAAAAATTAATGGTATTTCAGTAAACACTAATAAGAGAATGTCCCAGTAAGCACTAATTAACAAAGAGAAAGAAATAGAAGGTGGCCGATTTAACACTAATAAGCAGAGAAAAACATTAATGGTAGTTCAGTAAACACTAATAAGTAAGGAGAATGTCCCAATAAGCACTAATTAAAAAAGAGAAAGAAATAGACGGTGACCTGTTAAACACTAATAAGCAAAGAGAAACATTGATGTCTGACCAGTAAACACTGATAATTAAAGAGAAAAAAGAAAAAAACATTAAACACTAATAAGCAAAGAAAAGGAAGAAAGGTAAAAGCTAACACAGTTAGACACTAAAAAATAGAATGAAAAAGTAGAATTTGGCCAAGTAAACACTTATTAAGAGAATGGCGAAAAGAAGGTGGCTTAATAAACACTAATGAGCAAAGAGAAGGAAGAATCATTGATGACAGCCCAGTAATCACTAATAAGTAAAGAGAGGGAAGAAAAGAAGGTGTCTCAGTAAGCACAAATGTAGCGGAACTGAAAGGCAGCAGTCTGTGGGTTATGCTGAACTGACTACAGTTCGCCATTCTAAGAGGACATGACGCACAGATTTGTGGACGTTTCCACGGTAGGCCATTCTTTTCTTTCCTCATTTGTCCAATATTTCATTTTGACAGGGACTGTTGCTACATTTGCATAAGCGTCCACTATTCTGCTTGCATATTACACATGCCACTCATTGCCTCTTAGAACGGTGAACTGTAGTCAGTTCAGCAGAACCCACAGATTGCTGCCTTTCAATTCCGCTACTACAAATTACCAAAGGGAAGAAAAAAGAAGGCTTATTAAACACTAGTAAGCAAAGAGAAAAAGAAACATTAATGATAGCCCAGTAAACACTAATAAGTAAAGAAAAGGAAGAAATATTGATGGTTGCCCAGAAGAAAGAACAGAAGGTTGCCTAGTAAACTCTAATAAACAAAGAGATAGAAAAAGAGGAAGTCAGCAGAGTAAACACAAATAAGCAAATAGAAGGAAGAAGGACTATTGGGGATTCGATAAACATAAATAAGTAAACAGAGGGGAGAAATGTCCCAGTAAGTACTAATTAACAGAAGGTAAGAAAAAAGAAGTTGGACTAGCAAACACTAATAAGCAAAGAGAAGAAAAATAAGGTAGAAGGTGATTGAGTAAAAATTATTAAGTAAAGAGAAGGGAAACTCAAAGAATTTTGCCTGTTAAACAATAATTAACAAAATGGTGGCAAAATTGAAGTTGATATTGTAAGCAAAATTCAGCAAAGAGAATAAAATAATGTAAGATGGCTGAATAAAAACTGATAAGCAAAAAGAAGGAAAACTGAGGGAATATTATCAGTCCTATACTGACATCTCAACTTCAGTTACTTTCCAACCACTTAAACATATCTTTCCTGTGCCTTTTCTATAAATGTTTTTGTTATATTAAGTTGTTCTACACTTCTTGTCAGTCTCTTAGTTTACTATAGACTTTATATCTCTTCTACTTAACATATGCAAATAGGTACAATCCTATTTATCAGTTCACTACAATTTTCACGTTAATTGCTCTGACGATCATCCCACTTTGGTACGTCGGATTCACAAATTTAAGAGCAGTACTAGATTGGCAGCTAGGTCTTATTATTTTACTGTTGAAATTGCGAGATGTAAGTTCTATGCTAATAATTTATTTCCTCATGCTACTGTGGAAGTCTTTTCCAGCTTCTTGCTTTCCTGCCAACTATGATCTCCAAAAATTTAAATGCAACATCAATCATCATCTTTCTCCTTGAAACCTGTTCTTTTATAGTCCTCTTTCACAATAATGTCTCTCTCAGATTTTTTCACTCTTAATAACTCATTGTATCTTAGTGGCTTTATCACCTTGCTTTGGATGAAATGATTAGGAATAAATAGTGTAATAAGCAAAAAGATGAAAAAATGAAAATGGTGGTATAAAAAAAGATTTGACTGCAATTGAGATCAACGAGTCAATGCGAATGATCTTTTTCTTAGCTGCATAGTATGCACTTTGCCATGGCTACATACAGTTTTGAATTCAGAATTTTTCCTTCTTCTAGATTAGTTGCTACCCAAAGCTATTGAACCCGGTCTGTCCTACTAGTTACCCATAGCTGGAGAGAAAAGTGTTGGATTCATACCTTTTCCAAGGGTATTAGTACGTAAGTGAATGCAATGAATTCCACTTGAATTTGAACTTGTTTCTTCAATCCATTACTCTTCCCTGCCATTTATGTTACTTGTGCACATTTATGTAAAATTTATGTGCAGAAATTTTTCTTACCATAACTTTGAAAAGAAAAAGATTTCACCGTCGTTGAGTTGAGATCATTGAGTCAATATGAATGATCCTTTCCTTAGCTTAGTATATGCTTCACCAGGACTACATACAGTTTGGAATTCAGTATTTTCCTTCTCCTAGAATGGTTGCCATCCAAGGCTATTGAAACCAGTCTGTTCTAGTATTTACCTGTCACTGGCAGAGAAGAAATGGATTCATACCTTTCTCAAATGTATTAGAGCATGAAAGAATCCAATAAACTTGACTGGAATTCAAACTTGGCTCTCTGATTCTTCACTATGAGCCTCAATCCATTACTCTACTGAGCCTTTCTCTATTGGTATAGTCAAGTGAAATAAGCAAAGGAAATTAAAAAAAATGAGAGAAAGTGACCAAATAAATTCTAATAAGCAATGAATAGCAAGGAAAGGAAGAAGAATCCAGAGAATGTCATAGTGAAGTAAGAGAAGGAAAGAAACGACCATCACTGTTGACAAAAGCAGCTGGTAGTATGCAAGTGACTTTTTTGCTGCAACAATGCCAAACATCAAGTTAAAGAGGATCTACTTGACAAGACATTAGGAGCCTCATTCTGATGTCAGGAAAATGTAAATCAGACCTGAAGATGGAGGATTGGAGAAAGAATTAAAAAAGAAAGACTTGCTTCAAGAATGCAGAGCAAAGGGAAAAAAAAGAAAAGAGATGAAGCTGTTGATCTGCAGCTGGAACTGTTTGGCAGTTTCTATGTCAATCCAATAGTTGTTGGATTTGGGACGGATTGTGGTCTTTCTACTGGTTACCAAACCAGGTGCATTTCATGGTCATTATTCTCACATTTTTAGCCATTAACTAATTTTCATTTTTACATTCTTTTTTTCTCCTGCATTTACCTCTTTTTCTTCTTTGTCGATTATTCACTTTTTATATATTTTCTGCATTCTTTTTCATCTGTCCTTCATTTTCTTCTCCTTTCTTTTAATTGTTTTTCTTCTTCGTTTCTTCTTCTTCAGCATATTCATTTTGCCCTTTGCATCTTTTTTCTCCTCATTCTTTTTCTTCTACTTCTCAATTTTCTTTTTTCTTCCTCCTCCTTTTACTACTTCTTTTTCTTGTCCATCATCATCATCCGCCTCCTCCTCCTCCTTCTTCTTCTTCTTCTTTTTCTTCTTCTTCTTCTTCAACACTGCCACCACCACCACCACCACCACCACCAGTGACTAGTACTTTTTCTACCAGTTTTCTATTTCAGCATATTTTTAATTCATTTTTTTCTTTCAATTACTCACTCTACTCACTCATAAAACCCTTCCTTCTGCAATTTTTCTTCCAATATGGCACCAATTTCTTCTACTATCAAAATGGCTTTCATTTCTTCTGATAATAAGTGTTTTATTTTTCTTCTGCCAACATTCTTCTATTTCTTTGATCAATATGGCTTCTATTTTTCTTCTATCAATATGGCTTTAATTCCTTCTGTCTTGTCTCTATGGATTTCATATCTTCTTCTATCAATATGAATTTTATTTTTCTCTCAATAAGTCTTCCATTTCTTCTACCAATATGGCTTTCATTTCTTCTTGCTTTAATAAGTTCCCTATTTTTCTTCTATCAATATGGCTCCTATTTTTTCAATCAATATGGTTTCTGTCAATAAGGATTCATTTTTCTTCCATCAGTAAGGCTTCTTCTAACAATATGGCTTTCATTTCTTCTTCTGTCAAAATTGCTTCCATTTTTCTTCTATCAGTTAGACTTTAATTTCTTCTGTCAATATTGCTTTCATTTTTTTCTACTCTCAATACCACTTTCATTTTTTCTATCAATAAAACTTTAATTTCTTCTTCGGTTAAGATAGCTTTCCAAAATGGAAGACTTATTAAAAGAAGATTCTTTTAATAAGGCTTCCATTTCTTCTACTACCAATAAGACAGTTTTTCTGTCAATATGACTTTCATTTATTTTGTCAATAAGACTTTCATTTCTTCTCTCAATATAACTTTCATTTCTTCTCAAATATGACTTTCATTTTTCTTCTGTCTATAGGGCTTCCATTTCTTCTTATCTCAATAAGACTTTCATTTCCTCTGTCAATAGGGCTTCCATTTATTCTTGTGTCTCTATGGATTCTAGTTCTATCAATAAGACTTTGATGTTATCTTCTCTCAATATAGCTTCCATTTCTTCTTCTGTCAATAAGATTTTCATTTCTTATAAAATATGGTTTTCATTTATTCTCCTGTCATTTTGGCTTCCATTTTTTCTGTCTATAAGGCTTCCATTTCTTTTTCTGTCAATATGGCTTCCAGTTTTTCTTCTGTCAATATGGCTTCCATTTCTTCTGTTAATAATACTTTCATTTCTTCTCTCAATATAGCTTCCATTTCTTCTGTCAATAAGATTTTCATTTCTTTTTCTGTCAATATGGCTTCCATTTCTTCTGTTAATAATACTTTCATTTCTTCTCTCAATATAGCTTCCATTTCTTCTGTCAATAAGATTTTCATTTCTTTTTCTGTCAATATGGCTTCCATTTCTTCTGTTAATAATACTTTCATTTCTTCTCTCAATATAGCTTCCATTTCTTCTTCTGTCAATAAGATTTTCATTTCCTATAAAATATGGTTTTCATTTATTCTCCTGTCATTTTGGCTTCCATTTTTTCTGTCTATAAGGCTTCCATTTCTTTTTCTGTCAATATGGCTTCCAGTTTTTCTTCTGTCAATATGGCTTCCATTTCTTCTGTTAATAAGACTTTCATTTCTTCTCTCAATATAGCTTCCATTTCTTCTCTCAATAAGATTTTCATTTCTTATATAAATATGGCTTTCATTTCTTCTCCTGTCATTATGGCTTCCATTTATTCTGTCTATAAGGCTTCCATTTCTTCTTCTGTCAATATGGCTTCCATTTCTTCTGTTAATAAGACTTTCATTTCTTCTATCAATATGGCTTTCATTTTTTCTTTTGTTACTATGACTTCCATTTCTTTGTCTTTCTATAAGGCTTCCATTTCTTTGTCTGTCAATACGGTTTCTTCTACTCTCAACACCACTTTCATTTTTCTTTTATCAGTAAAACTTTCATAACTCCTGTTAATCAGGCTTCATTTCTTCTTTTATCGATAAGACTTTCAGTTCTACTGTCAATATGACTTTCATTTCTTCTTATATCAAAAAGACTTTCAATATCTTCTGTCTATAAAGCTTCTATTTCTCTTTCTCTCAGTAAGGCTTTCTTCTGTCAATAAGACTTTCATTACCTCTATCAATATGGCTTCGATTTCTTCTCTCGATATGGCTTCCATTTCTTCTTTTTTACTCTTCTTCTTTACTACATCATTTCCTTTTACATTTTCCCTTATCCTATTTTACTGACTACTTTAAATAGTTTTGCTGTTAACCATTTTTCTTCGACTATTTCTTCTTCATTGTCTTTATCATTCTTCCTAGTCTTTTTTTCCTTCTCTTCATCCGATTTTTCTCCTACTGTATTCATTCCTTCATTTATTCATTTTAGCATTGTTTCCAATTTTTTCTGTTTGTCTGGCATTACAAAAAGTATCAGAGGACAGGTGCAAAACTGATGAAATGTGCATTAATTAATCCTGACAATCTGCCTATTGCCTGCATCTCTGACTTGTCACATTCTTCCTGATCTGATGCAAAACAAAGTCTTTTTTTATCCTGTAACTGTCATCTTAGAGATACTCACCGATTGAAAGCAACAATACCAGAAACGGAACTAAGAGGGGAAAACACAGGTTGTGTTTCGGGAGAAAATGAAAATATAAATATATTTAAATAAACAACAAGATAGTCAAACTATTAACATCATTGGAAACAGAACTGGCAAGCTGAGTTCAAATTCCATCTGAGACAAATTCTATTCATTTATCACTATTTCTTCTTCTATGTGCCATGGATCTTCGAAATACGGGCAGTCATGGCTCTCCACAACTTCCTATCCTTTGTAGCTCTCAACAATGATTACCTTTTTACTGATACTTTTAATCACTGTTCTGCCATCCCGTTACACAAGCTCATTATGTAAGTTACTCACTGTTTCCTTATATCTCTTTTACCTTCAATATGCCTTATGAGTATCAGATTCTCCAAACCATCTCTCTTCAGTATGTCTCCAAGAAATTTAGACTAGAAATTTAGATTAGAAATTGTAATTATATATTTTAAAACAGTTTGTTATAATCGTAGTTATTTTTTCCACAATTACAATTTAGATATTTTAAGACCTTGCTGTTAAAAACATTTTAAAACTTTGATGCTATACTCATAATTCATTTTATTTAGTGTTGACTGTAATGTTTTATATAAAGGGCTTCCAGAATTTGAAGTTTTTATTTTTATTTTCATTGTGGAATATACTTGTATTGTTGATTCATAATATTAATATTTCTCTAAATCATGAATGTGGACAGGAATATTCCTTTAAATGTTGTGTAATTACAATTTTTGATAAAGATTTTTACAATATGAATTAAGTTACCTCCCTTACATAACAGTATTTTTTTTTTTTTTATTACCAGAACACGTTCATGTGCAGACACAAAAAATTCAGAACTGTCAATTACATTAATTCTTTGTTTTCAATTCATCCCCGAGATTCAAAGTACTTGGGAAAATAAAAAGTATAAGAACTGCTACAGCATCTTTCTCAATCAGTATAATTACAAGATTTTAAAAAAATCAGTGAATATGAGAGGATTAAAATAATAAAATTGGATGTCTAGCCACACTGATGAGCTGTGATTATGTATAGATATATCTGTCTACAAACAATTATTTCATCTACAGGTTTTAAGGAAAAAAATACAGCCTGACAATGAAGACATGGATCTTCAAAAGTACTTGCTTAACTACACTAGAAACATCTGACAACAGTTTTATAAATGAAGATCACATCATCCAATGGATTAACAGTATTTTGATGCATACATTATGTTTCTACTAGCGAAGTGATTTCACCATTAATCGTATTAATATTGCTGATTGATTCTATGTATGATTATTTCTTTATATATGTATATATATGTGTGTGTGTGTATTGGAAAATAGATGTGTAGGTAGTGATAGTGGCTCAGAATGAGAAATCAAAGAGCCATGTTCAAATTATAGTTCATTATGCTAATTTTCCTGTATATAACTTTTGAATAGTTATGAAACCATCTCTTTTCTCCCAGTTATGGGTTAAATATCAGTGAAGACTGGGTCCTTTAGTCTTGATTGTTAACCAGTCTATGAGTAGGAAAACTCTGAATTCAAAGCTTGAGGTGAGTCATTTGGAGACCTCGTTGCGCACTATGTGCATCAGTTCTCTGTATTCACTTCTGAAAAGGATGTTTGGTTCTGCACAAGACTTAATCACTATGAAGTCTACAAAGGGGAGGATGATTAAAGGAATTACCTTGCAAGGATAGCCATGGGATATTCCTTCTCTCTGTTGTAGGAATGGTGTTGTTTAGAATGCTGTTGGACGGACAGGCTTCTCCAAAATGTTGATGAAGTCTTAATGAATCAGTGTTTCAGATATCGCAGTGAGATGACAGATAAGATTGTTTCTGTAAGGCAATTGCAAGAGAAATGCATTGAGCCAAAGATGGACCTGTATCAAGTTTTCTTTGTTCAAAAAGGGATTTTGCTACTGTGAACAGAAATGCCTGAAGAAGAGTTGATGCTCTGATAATTTGTCTCTAAACTTAGAGGTCCCCATAAATGAATGAAAGCACAAGTCACTATTAGTGGTAAGCTCATTGATCCAATTTTACCAGTTCTGTCTCCATTGTAATTTGCAATGGCTTTTAAAGGATATTCTCTCTGTCTCACACACACACACATATTGGTCCGAAAGTCTTGTCACTCCATACCAAAAATTAATTAGAAGAACAAGTAATACAGTAATTCAAAGCACATGTACTGGATTTAATTTTCGGAGGAGCTGGTTTGCCGAATTTTGCAGTGAAGTCATGTCGTACCTCCTCCATGCTCTTGCCAGAATGCACATAAATCAGCCTCTCTTCCAAACTGTAGGAGTTCGTGTCAGCCATCTGAAATAGAAAATTATATTATGTAGGGGTGACAAGACTTTCAGACCACCCTGTACATTGGTGAAACCTGGAAGGCACAAAAGCCAAAATGTTGTGATAACAGCGACAAATCTGAGGTCAATAGTTCAAATCTAAATACAGTAACACAGCACACTGAATTCAGTTCATTCACTTTCATTGACACTGTTACACATGGAGAAGGTCTGTATGTTTTGTGTCAGCCATATGAAATTATATTATGTAGGGGTGACAAGACTTTCAGACCACCCTGTATATTGGTGAAGCCTGAAAGGCACAAAAGCCAAAAAGTTGTGATAACAGCAACAAATCTTAGGACAATAGGTTGAATCTAAATACAGTAACACAAATCACACTCGATTCAGTTTATTCACTTTCCTTGACACTGTTACACATGGAGAAGGTCTGTATGAACACCACCATTTTCGTGCCATTCATCTGAAATAGAAAATTATATTATGTAGGGGTGACAAGACATTCGGACCACTCTGCATATTAATATTCATTCATCAGGAGGATTATTAGTAAAATTGAATTGATTTAGGGAATTTATATTTTTCTTTAAATACCTTATGTAATATTAGATTAAAATCTTTATTGGTATTTTTTAAGAAAGAACAAATTTAAAATTAGTTTATGTCAAAATTTAATATTTCTTTAGGGAAAATTAAGTAACATTTTTTTTATTTTCAGACAAAATATTTCTGTAAATAAATCCAAATTTACCTTCAAGTGGCCTCATGAGTGCATGTAATCTCCATGAAAATATCTTGTTCATTAGTACAAGTATTTATACAAAGTTGTGCGTTGTTATCCATTACCATAATTTTTCATTATGCTTTTAAATGCAAAACAGTTTTAATGTGCTGAACATTCATTAGAATGTGAAAAAATTATCCATTATGGAATTATTTTTTAATGTCATGCTCATGCGTGCATTAAAATATATAAAAAAAATATATATATGTGTGTGTGTGTGTGTGTGTACAAAGTGAGTATAAGAAAAAGTAAATCCATGATATTTTTAAAAAGATGAAGAGAATATTGTAGGCAAGAGAAATATGATTCTACAGAAAGATGCTGAGAATGCCATGGATGAAGCCAGTAGGCTAAGCAACAAGCAATTCTTAAGGAAGCAAAACAAGGAAATTTATACTCAGAATCAGAGAGAGGCAGCTAAATTTGTTTTATAGATGCATAATGAGGATGAAAGACTTGGAGAATTTAACACATCTAAGACAAAAGAGGTCAGAGGCAGGCCAGGCTTACATTTTTGAATGGATGGTAGAACAAATGGATGGTAAAAATCCTAATATCACAAAGAGCTACAAGGAATAGGAAGTCGTGGAGAGCCATGTCCGAAGGGACATGGTAATAATAAAACAAAAACAGAAGAGTTAAGGATTCCATTTATCTTTGCCTGACACACCTGAAGAAGCAAGCATGATTGAAGTATCGTAAATCCAACAGCCTCTTAGTTTGGCAAGCAAGCAATAATTGCCTCCTCGGCCATTTCCTTTATCCAACCTACACATAAAATCCCTTTTTGTTTGTTTCCAAGTTCCGCACCACAAACCTTCATGTTGTGGCCATATAATTTTGATTCCATCTGTGGCTTTTGCTGTAACTGTTGGCACTAAAATCCCACAACCATGAGAAACAGCTGCCAAAAATAGGGAGAATCAAAGACAGGTGATGTATGAAGCATTAAACTCTATTGCTATGCCTTCTTTGAGAATACATGTATATTGCAACATAAAATATATATATATATATATATATATATATATATATATATATATATATATATATATACTGGGTGGGGAAACAATATGTAACTTTTTATATAACAGAACAATTTTAGAAAAATCTATGCCGGACTGGAAAAATCTTTTCATGTGTTGTATTTCACTCTTTAGAGCATCATCAGACTAAAGTGATGTTTATGTTGATGGGATTACACATATGCATGAAGGAGAGAGGACACTAAAATTTAAATTTAAATTTCATCTCATCCACCTTCATTTGCATGTATCACATAAAAAAATTGTTTCATTTAGTGAACTAGTGAGGAACAGTAAGTCATGTGCCATGTGTGATAAACACTTTGGTGATCATGTATATTTCTATACATGACTGACGAGGCAGATTTTTCCCACAGTAGGTTACCATTTCTTTCTACAGTAGACCAGTTGGCATGCAAGGCTATAGAACTTGATCTGTCCTGCTATTCACCCATAGCAGGGAGGAGAAGGATTCATACCTTTTCAAGGGCATTATCACGTAAGTGAATAT